TTGACTCTAGTCCGGTTGTTGCAGTGGTCCATTTATGTGGGTATGAATTCCACTGGCAATTAGATTTTAAAGGGATTTCCATGGTTAAATATGTTTAGAAAAACTTATTTGGCTTAAGTAAATTAAACCAATTTCTTTGGAGATACATTTTAGAGCCTTTAATATGCTAATGGGGCTATAACTCTTGCAGGGAGTCAGGACATGCAGTGTTTTTCTTTCATTTTGGACAGACACCCCCTCTGCCATCTTCTTGCAAGATACCAGTGCTCTGGAGTACCCTCAGGAAATGCAACCTTAGAGGCCTTGCAAAACTGTGTGTCTCAGGTGGATCCTAAAGAGGTGCTGGGGCAGAGGAAGGCCTCACAGATGACAACTGTTTTGTATGGATGATTGCTGTCATGGAAAAATAACCACTGATACCTACTTGAGTGCTTATAACAAAAGTATGAAATCATTATCCTTACTTTAGAGGTAAGGACAACAGGAGTCAGGAATTTGGAAACATTTCCAAATGAAACAACTAGAGTGTTCATTCTGGTCCCAGGAATGAACTCAGATACAGGAGCTTATACTCTAGCTTTTCCTGCTGTGTGATGATGGGGCTTATGCGTGTGCTGGCCTGGTGCAGGGCGGAGTTGTGTTCCTGGAGTGTGAAATAACAGTGAGATTTATGTGGCTGGAGGTCATGGTTGGAAATGGTAAGAAATGAAACCTTGGAGGTGCAGATCCCCAGGGGCCTTGTCCATCATACAGAAGAATGTGAGACTTCTGCACCCGCTCTGTCCATCAGCTTACCTTAGGAACTTTACTAATTTAAGACCTCTTAATTGCTTATGTGTAAAATAGTTTTAAAAGTACAGATACTTGGCACACAGTAATTAAAAGTACCAGACTGGTAGAACTAGCCTTCTTGGATGTTTAACAGACATACTTTGAGGCCTATACTAATTTGGTCAGAGGCACATAAAGGACCATTTTTGCTCCTTGCCCTCCTAGGTTGACTAGTTCCAGGGGACTATGAGACTCTCTCAAAATGCCCTGTAATTGTGGTGAGTCACCTGTCCTTTTGATCAAGGAGGCCTTGGAGACCCCATGAGATGGACTTGAACCAGTGTCCAGTCTACAAAGAGGAGGGTCAACACAGAGGAAACATTTCCTCCATGCTTCCAAGCAAAGCCAGCCATCATCAAGCAGGACCTTTGATTTATCCTCACATAGACAGAATTGGTAAAAGAAAGGAGTCAGGGGCTCCTCCCAAGCCCATGTGACCCCTGAAGTACAGATCCTCAAGCAACCTTAAGAGTAAAATGAAATTGGCTTATCTGAGCCAAGTGCATGGTCTTAAACACCCAAAAGGAAAGTATAACCAAAGATTAAAGTGATCAATATAATTACGAGTCCATATGTATATCTAAAGGCTACATAACAAGAAACAGTGCCAGACAGGAGATACCTTCCTTTGAGTTTTTGGCCAGGGTGGCCCAAGAGAGTCCCAAACAGTAACCCAGCATAGAATTGGGAAAATGAACAGCAGTCCCCAATCTTATCTAAAGGAATGTTGGCAGGTGATTGCTGCTGGATGAGGGAGAGCTGATCTTCCTAAAACAAGGAACTCTAGATAGGCTGACTAGACTCAGTGGATAGACAAGCACTGAGGAACAGTTGGGGGTGCTGACAATACAGTGGACAGTAACAGGGATAACAGAGTATATGGGCTCCAGTGGGGGGCGGGGGAGAGGGGCAGGCATACTCATTTGGCATGTGAGTATGTAAATGAGTAAGATTGTTTGGGATGTTCTATATGAAATATACACAAAAAAAATCAATAAATAAAAATATTAGTTATATTTGAGGAAGAAGCATAACAATTTGCTTCATGTTTATTAGTAGATGTGAAAAACATTACCATTGAAATACCCGATGACTTTATATCCATGCTCAGGTGCCAAGTATCTCAGAAAGTTATT